GTGCTGCCAGGAAGGCGCCATCACGGGGCCAGCGGAGAGGGGCTCCCCGTCCCCGCGCCGGGACACCCCGTGCGCGGGTGCTGCGCTCTGCTCCGCTGCCCCCGTCTGAAGTTCAGCCTCTGTTCTGTTCCAGCTGGGTGGGCTATGAGCAGGCAAGCTGCAAAGGAGAGCAGTTTGTGTTTGAGAAGGGGGAGTACCCCCGCTGGGATTCCTGGACCAACAGCCGGAGAAGCGACAGCATCACTTCCCTGAGACCCATCAAAGTGGTGAGAGCACCCAGACAGCCTCTACCCACCCGTCAGGCCAAGGTCTGCAATGAGAAGTCTTCCCCAGCCTTCCCCAACCTTCCCTAGCCTCACAGGTGCGGGAGCACCCACTCCTTTGCACCGTTTTTGGAGTTCTCCTTGCCCCGCTGCCAGTCTCCTCCAGGGCGCAGCCGCGGGCACAGGTCTCCGTCAGCGTGTGCAACGGGGCCAGGAGCCCGGCCCCGCCGAGGCACGGGGCAGCGCCTAGGCCGGGGAGCAGTGTCTGGGTGTAGGTTTGGAGGGAAGCGCAGGGCCGGCGGGCGGTGTGAGGAGAAGCCGGCGGCAGAGGATGGTTGCTGGTAAGTGGAGCGGTGCCCGCAGTACCCGCACGCACGGCCAGGCCCAGCGGCAGGGTGCAGCGAGGGCCGCTGTGAGCGGTGCCGCCTGCCGGGCCCGCTCTGGGTCCAGTCCCCCGCCTCAGTTTCCCCATAATCTTAGGCTTGCTGTAAAGTGCTTTGCCTCCCCTCTGCACAGCCCCGGGGCATTGCAACCACCAACCCCCTGCCCTCTTTGTGCTCTCCCCTCTGCAGGACAGCCAGGAGCACAAGATTGTTCTGTATGAAAACCCTGGTTTCACCGGCAAGAAAATTGAAATAATAGATGATGATGTGCCCAGTTTCCATGCTCATGGCTACCAGGAGAAAGTATCGTCCGTGCGGGTGCAAAGTGGAACGTAAGCGCCCGGGGTTGGGTCTGCCCTGTGCGCTGGGGCCTGGGCAAGGCGTCTGCTCCCTGCTGCGGTGGTGAGAAGCCCCGGGGTGCAAGCACCGCTCTGCGGAGAACGCCCGCGCTCGGCACCGGGGTCCCTGCGGCAGCATCGCTGCTCCGGGGCAGGCTGCCCGGCTGGA